TTGGCCAACGATGTTGTGTTGAAAATGACACCAAATTAAACGAATCCCTTCTGCCTGCCCTTGGTCCATATCCCTCCATTCCTTGTGATTAAAGCATTTAAAAAACCCCTATTGTGTCTGCCTCCACCACCACCCTTGGCAGCACATTCCAGACTCCTGCCCTCACATCTCCTTTGAACTTTCCCCATCTCACCCTAAATGCTAGCCCCCTATCATTAGACATTTCAACTCTGGGAAAGAGATTCTGACTGTCGACCCTATCTATGTCTCTCAATTTTATAAACTTCTATCAGGTCTCCCCTCAGCCTCCATTTCTCTAGAGAAAATAACCCGAGTTTTTCTAGCCTCTCTTTGTAGCTCATACCCTCTAATCCAGGCAGCATCCTGGTAAACCTCTTTTGCACCCTCTCCAAAGCCTCTACATCCTTCCTGTAATGTGGTGACCAGAACTGAGTGCAGCCTGACCAAAGTCTTATAAAGCTGCAACATGACATCCTGACTCTTGTACTCAATTCCTCGACCGATAAAGGCAAGCATTCTTTACCACCCTATTTACTTGCATGGCCACTTTCAGGGAACGATGGACTTGAACCTCATTGTACATCAATGTTGTTCAGGGTTCAGGCCATCAACTTTATACATTTCCTTAGCATTTGATCTCCCAAAGTGCAGCACCTTTCACTTGGTCAGACAAGCATGGGAATTCCTAGAAGCATGGCACTCCATGAAGAAAGCCATCAACAAACACATAGAGCTCGACCCCATATACACTCCACTGCGAAGGAAAACCAGAAGTGAGGTAATCCAACTCAATGGACTCCAGAGTTTAAATACCAGGCAGGAAAACACAACAGTGCTGCATCGGAGGCTGCACCGATAATGTTATCCAGCAAGGTAATGAAATGTCTGCGAACGAACGAACCAGCTCGGCGAGCGAACCAACCACAACATCCACAACCCGAGCTACAAATCTACTCTACAACTTTACAGATTAAACTCCATCTGCCATTCCTCCGCCCATATCTGAAACTGATCTATATCCCGCTGTAACCTTTGACAACCTTCTACACTACCCACAACTCCACCGATCTTTGTGTCATCTGCAAACATACTAAATCACCTGTCTACATTTTCATCCAAATCATTTATATATATCACAAACAGCAGAGGTCCCAATATGAATCCCTGAGGAACACCATTACTCACAGAGCTCCTGCCTGAAAAATATTCCTCCACCATTACCCTCTGTTTTCTATGGACAAGCCAATTCTGAATCCACATGGCCAAGTCACCTTGCATCCCATGCATCTGAATCTTCTGAATGAGCCTACCACAAGGGACCTTGTCGAAAGCCTTACTAAAATCCACGTAGACAACATCAACTGCTCCATCCTCAACAATCACCTTTGTCACATCCTCGAAAAATGCAATCAAGTTTGTAAGACATGACCTGGCCTGCACAAAGCCATGCTGACTGTTCCTAATTAGGCCATGCTTTTCTGAATGCACGTAAATCCTAAGAATTCTCTCCAGTAGCTTCCCAACTACTTATATGAGATTCACTGGTCCACAATTTCCTGGATTATCCCAGTTTCCCTTGTGGAAGCTACTCGCCAGTTCTCCACAAGGGAAATTGGGATAATCCACAACCTCTCTAGTGGCTAGCAAGGATATAAAGATCTTGGTCAAGGCCCCAGCAATTTCCTCTCTTGCCTCTTTCAGTAACCTTGGGTAGATACCATTGGGCCCTGGGGAGTTATCCACCTTAATGCCCTTCAAGAGATCCAACACCACTTCTTTCTTGATCTCAAATGCCCTGGCATATTAGCATGCTCCACACAAATCTCACTATCCTCCATATCCTTCTCCTGGGTGAATACCAATCAAAGTACTCATTTACGATCTCACCCACATCCTCTGCCTCTAAGCACAAGTTCCCTCCTTTATCCTCATTTACCTTCCTTTACCTTCTTCCTAGTTAGCCTTTTTTTTAAAATTGTATCAACAGAATACCTTCGGATTTTCTTTAACCCCATTTGCCAAGGTCATTTAATGGCCCCTTCTTGCTCTCCCAATTCCCTGCTTGAGATCTTTCTACAGAATCGCTACAGTGTGGAAAAAGGCCATTCAGCCCAACAAGTCCACACCAACTCTCCAAAGGCCATCCCACCCTGACTCACACCCCTACCCTATCCCTCTAACCCTGCATTTCCCATGGCTAATCCACCTAACCTACACACCCCTGAACACTATGGGCAATTTAGCATGGCTAATCCACCTAACCTACACATCCCTGAACACTATGGGGCAATTCTCCATGGCTAATCCACCTAACCTACACATCCCTGAACACTACGGGCAATTTAGCATGGCCAATCCACCTAACCTACACAGCTTTGGACTGTGGGAGGAAACCGGCGCACCCGGAGGAAACCCACGCAGACACGGGGAGAACGTGCAAACTCCACACAGACAGTCGCCCAAGGGTGGGAGTGAACCTGGGTCCCTGGTGCTGTGAGACAGCAGTGCCAAACACTGAGCCACCGTGCTGCTTGTTTCCTGCTTTCCTTATATTCCTAACAGGCCCTGTCTGATTTTAGCTTCCTAAACTTCTTTTTCCCTTTTGATTAAATTGACAACCTGCCTCATTACCCAAAAGGTCCAATACCTTTCCCTCCTTATCCTTCCTCCTAACTGGAACATGCTGGTCCTGAATGGCAGGAAGACCGGAGGCTGTACTGAGGATGTTACCAAGCGTGATAATGAAATGTCTGCGAAACAAGAAACCAGCTCGGCGAGCCAACCAACCTCAACATCCACAACCTGAGCTACAAATCTACTCCAAAACCTTAGAAGTCCTGAACTCTCCCCAGGGGGTCTTTAAACAGTTCCCACATGTTTAATGTGGACTTGCCTGGTAACAGCTCCTCCCAATTAACACTCCCTAGCTCCTGCCTAATACTGACGTAGTTTGCCCTCCCGCAGTTTATTACTTTCCCACAAGGTCCTGACTCATCCTAGTTAATAGCTATATTAAAACTTAAGGAGTTGTAATCACTGTTACCAAAATGCTCTCCCACTGAAAGGACAGTCACCTGGCCAGGCTCATTAGCCAATACAAGGTCCAGTATGGGCTCTCCAATCTTTGGGATCCACAAAGCCTTGTTTTAAGCCTCCAGTACATTGGGACAGCAGTGTGCAGTGTTAGATCATCACTAGGGTCAGGCTTTAATGTCCAGCAGACAAAGGCCTGGTGGTTTGGGTGGTGTGGGTGGGGATAGGGGAAATTAAGAGAGAGGGTTCATTAATAACTTAAGGAAGCACTGCCTCCTCCCCACATTGATGAGCCTAGAGTATCCACTCCCCCTGCTGGCCCACCACCAGCTGATTTAGGGAACCCTTGGCATATGGTCTGGGCTGCTGTTGCCACTGGTTACTTCACAGTAGTGGTTGGATGGAGCGCCCTCAATGGCGAGGTTGGCATCAGACCACCTGCCTGGCTCATCGGCATTGATATTACTGCATCAAGGGCAGGGTTAGGCAGCTATTGCCCTCCTTCAGACCCCTTGGAAGGTGAGTGTAAAATTCATCACCATAACTGAGATACCTGGACCAATGGGACTGTGGCTCTACATTGCCTGATGATGTCTCCCCTGCTAGTGTTCGGGATTAGGGCCTCTGCATGGCCACTAATTGCTTTGGTTTACTTGAGGGGAAATGGTGACAGTGTTAGTCCTGGTACACAGTCAATAACCAACCTGTACAGATTCACTCACTGGATGTAAAGTGACCAAAAACAGCAGAACTTTCTGCTGAACAATATGGTCAGTCTCACAGTAAAACCACAGGAAGCATCATGAAGGAAGCAATGAACACCAAACGACACGAAAAAGCAAACGATCCCCCTTTCAAACATCACAGCAATCAATGGCAGGGAACTGCATCTCTGGAAGCACATCATTCTCTTCAGTATATCATTTATAATACTTCTTGGTTAACTAAATGATTGAGCACACCACATTACCGAGATTCTTGAATGAAATACAAGTCTTCTTGAACCGATTCTCGTTTGATACCATGTTGACATTTCAAACGTGATAAACAAATGCAGGGGCTGGCTACACAGCCTAGCTTGGCATCACACAAGTGTATACCTGGGGCTGCAACCCAAGCCAGTTTTAATGCAATCCATTTCTTGTACAACATCCCTTATTCTTAGTGTGGACATATAGTGTGTCATGTGAACTAGGGGCCAATTGCTCCAGTATTTAGTGTGGGTTTACAGAACGGTTTCTTTCCCAAGCCGTATTGGAAGGTGTGTGACTGTCTGATGTCACGGCTCCAAGTACGATTAGGAAGAGGAGTTTATGGCCATCCTGCTGAAGACCTTCATTAGCAAGGCAGCTTGTGAGCAGTGATCAGGTTTGAAACTGATGGGGAATGTGGGGGTGAGCAAGGATTCACTTTCTAATGACCATAACCATCAGAAACATTTACACTCCAGCCTGTGATTACACTCAATATCTCACCTCCACGGCCAGGGCTGTAGGTTTGTTTGTGCCCCTGAACATGGTGCAGTAGGTTTGGATACCAGACTAATTAATGGAATTTTAACTTTTTGATTACAAAATAACTTTTTTGAAGAAAGTGTAATAGACAGCAGTGTAGAACAAGCCAGCTTACCTCTATCCACTGGTCACAGCCAAAGTATAATAGGGAGAGAGCAGAAAGGAGAGAGATGGAAGATAGTCAGAAGACAGCTCAATTGGCCAATCTACCAGATTTCAATCTGGGACATATTTGATAACCCATTTGCCAGCTTAGTATCCTATTTAGAGTTTTACACTGGACAGTACAACAAGGGGCAGCGAGCAGGTCTCACCCAGGGCAATGCATGCAGCACCTGAGGGTTTTATCTCTGACTGTAACTGAGCACACAGCACAGACCCTCCATTGGCACCGACAGACCAGAGCATGCAATTTCAATGTTGTTTTCTTACCGAGATCTTCAAGTTCTGAGGTCATAGACTTGGAGCGCAGCGTTAACGCAGTGGTTGGTGCTCGCTTTGGAGGCGGTGGGGCTTGTTTGTGAAATTAAAGAAAAAAGATAAAATAAAGAAATAATCTTGGAATTAGTTTCCTTCCAAAACACATGTCTGAGTCAGCAAGTGGTTGCTCCTACAAGTGCCTAATATCTACATTCTTGTCTCATCAAAGAGTTCAGCTATTTCAGATAATTACCACTGCGCTCATCCTTTTTCTAGAGTAAAGCTGTTGATGATTTTATTCTTGCTATTCACACCTATTCAACCCCAGTTTGTTCCCTTACCATCTCCATTTTCCGGCCACCATCAGCCCTTTTGTTAATTAAGCTCATGTGCTTTCTACCCCATCTCACACATCTCCCTTATACTGTTCCCTCACTGCTTTCTTTTTCATGCCTTTTGGTTTGCTGAAAATCAGACACAGCTTTCGATGACAGCAGGAAATTGCCCAGAAATGTATCTTCAGTTTCTCTGCCCACAGAGGCTGCTGAATATGCTGGGGCTAACTGCAGCGAGCCATGGTCTTCTTTTAGCAGCTCAGCAATGCTGTCTTGCCAATTTAATAATCTGTGGGGAAAGGCTACCCACCACATCCCCTTCCTGTTGACCAATTTCATTTCATACTGATGATGTGGGTTGGGGGTGGTCTGGAGGGGGTGGGGTGTGGTATGTGGTGGGGGTGGGAGCTGGGGATGGGGGCCAGGGTAAGGGGAGCTGACATTTTTACCTGTGACCCATTCTCATCACACATCTGCTCTGTTGAATTCAAATGTAGGATAATCCAGTTAAGATTGCCAAAGTTGGCTCCTGGTTAACTAGAGGTACCTAACTAACTGCAGGATGGGAGACCCCTCACCATCTACTGTTGCAGTTCCATGAAGGTGGTTTATACACATCCTCAAGGTCAATCTGTGAAGGGCACGAAATGTCTGCTTTAGGAGCAATCCGTGCATCATGAGAATGGTTTAACCAACACCATGAGGTGATTGCACTGAAGCCAAAACTCTGATGGCAGGGTGGATGCTGAGAGGGCATCACCCCTGGTGGGTTGGCAGTGACTGAGGGGAATCCAGATCTGCCATATGAGGCTGAAATAAGGAGAGATATTTTCTGAAGGTCATTAGCCTATAGAATAAGAATTAGAAACACGAGTAGGCCATTCAGCCCCTCAAGCCTCCTCCATTTAATATGATTATGGCTGATCTCATCTCAGTCTCAACTCCACCTTCCTGCCTGCTCTCCATAACCCTTCAACTCATTACTCATTAAAAACCTGCTTATCTCCTCAAATTTACTCAATGTCCTGCCATCGCACTCTGGAGGAGTGAATTCCTCAGAGTCACTACACTTTGAGAGAAGTAACTCCTCCTCATCGGTTTTAAATCTACTGCCCATCACCCTAAAACTATGACCCCTCATTCTGGGTAGTAGTGAAGACTGGGCCTTTGAGAATATTCAAGGCTGTGTTAGATCAATTTTGATGGTAAAGTGATTGAAGGAGTCAGCAGTTGACAGAACTTATCAAATGATAGAGAGATTGGAGGGGCTGAATGGCCTCCTCCTGTTCCTGTAATTGCTAAGACCACTGTGGCTGAATATGAAACAATGGGTCTAAATAACAACTACCAGGTCATTACAGTAAGCCTTCAGAAAGGTCTACACAAGAAAACATACACACAATAGAAATAGGCATTCCTTGTGAATTCAGTTCTCGCAATATTGTTTTAAAGGTTACTGAAATAATTTGTGATCAATTAACCTCTCTGAAGGTGGTTTAATCTGAGGGTTGCTACACCTTTGTAAGGATCAGACTGCAAAATAAAAGTAACATAAGCTTCAAGGAAAATTTAGACTTCTGCATTGTTGAAATTGAAGACTACAGGAAAGGAAAAAAAAACTTGAATGACTACAGTCTGTGCCAGTGCTCATTGAGCCCGACTACAAGCCAATGTAAGGCAAGCGAATATTTAATCTAAATCAGCATTTTAAAATTCTCTTCGGAAGATGATTAAACTCCAGCCAACTTTCCAAGACAGAAACTGCTGGTGATTCCTCCCTCAAAATACACAGCCGTTTGATTTCAGTTCACTAAGGGGGTGTGGGGCGGGGTGGGGAGGGGGTCATTCAGAATGGCATAGGACACTGTCCTTTCAAAACCGTCTTGAACGTTCTCCAAATGAAAATGTGCACAGTTTTCACAGCCTCTCTGATGTTGCTTAGCAACAATAAGCTGGTCGTTTCATTTCTAAGCACCTGCCCACACAGACCTGTGAACTGTACAATAATGATTTCCTTTAATAGAGAAAGGAGCACAAATGATTTCAAGGTTTCAAAAACTGTGTTCAATTGGCTGTGTGTAAAAATCACACAGAGAACATTTCAGAGGCTTTGCAAAGGAAATCATTGGAGCAGTTACCAAGTTATTTCTGGGCGAGATGCATTCATTTCAAGCTTTGAATTCAATTGGTTGCACGGTTTTATGACTCCATAATTTCTATGGAGGCTTCAACTCCCTCCGTAGCCTTGCTTCTCCGCACCCTGGCAACTGTCTGTGTGGAGCTTGCACATTCTCCCCGTGTCTGCGTGGGTTTCCTCCGGGTGCTCCAGTTTCCTCCCACAGCCCAAAGATGTGCAGCTTAGGTGGACTGGCCATGTTAAATTACCCACAGTGCCTAGGGATGTGTAGGTTAGGTGCATTAGCATGGGAAATGCAGGATTGTTGGGATAGAGTAGGGTAAGATGCTCTCTGTGGAATCAGTGTGGACTCGTTGGACTGAATGGCCTGTTCCCACACTGTAGGGACTCTATTCTATTCTGTTCTATTCATCTCCAATACTAATCCCCTCCCTCCCCGTCCAGCTGTGTAATGCTCAATAATCTCTCTGCTCCTTTATGCTGGCCTCTTCTGCATTGTCACTAGCTGTTGCTCCACCCTTGGTGGGTGTATTATCAGCTGACAGGTCCCAATAGCTCTGTGGTTTTCTCCCTTAGCCTGTCCGCTTCTATCCTCTCTGAAATTCACTACATAAAATCTACACCTTTGTGAGGTTGTTGACGTGCTCACCAAGCTGGCTTGTTCCTGTTCAGACATTTTGTCACCATGCTCGGTGACATCATCAGTGAAGCCTCCGATGAAGCGATGTTATTCTACTCCGCTTGGAATCTATACTGTCCGGTCTGTTATGGTGAGTAGTCTAATTTCTGGTTTTGTTCTGTATGGGTTTGTTGATTGCATTACGGGTGGAGAACCATGTCTCTAGGAATTCCTGTGCGCGTCTATGTTTGGCTTGGGCTACTATGGTTACTTTGTCCCACTTAAGCTGATGGCCTTCATTGTCTGAGTGTACTGATATTAGAGAGAGTTTGTCGTGCCGTTTTGCTGCTAGTTGATGTCCATGCATTCTGATGGCTAGTTTCCTTCCTGTCTGTCCGATGTAATGTTTGTGGCAGTCGTTGCATGGTATTTTGTAAACCACGTTGGTTCTGCATGTTGTGGGAATGGGGTCTTTAATCCTTGTGAGTGTTTGTCATAGAGTGGCTGTGGGCTTGTGGGCCACCATGATTCCTAGTGGTCTTAGGAATCTCGTTGTCAGTTCTGATATGTTCTTGATGTATGGCAGTATGGCAGTATGGCCAGTATGTTAGGGCATACTGTGTCCTCTTGTTGTTGTCTATTTATTAGGTATCTGCGGATGAAGTTGCAGGAATATCTGTTTATAGTGAGGATTTTGTACAGGTGCTCTTCCTCTTTCCTGCATAATTCTGGAGTGTTGCAGTGTGACCGAGTGTCCTAGCCCATTTAAATAGTGTCCTAATGGAGCTTTGTTTGTGGGCGTTGGGGTGGTTGCTGTGGAAGTTGAGGATTTGATCTGTATGGGTAAATTTTCTGTACATTGAGGTTTGGAACTCCTTGTTGGTTCTCTTCTAGTTTGTTGCGTTTAATGATAACAAATGTGTCATCTACGTACCAGATCCATAGTTTAGGTTGAATGCGGGGGAGGGTGGTGTGTGCTAGTCTTTGCATGACAGCTTCTGCAATGAGTCCTAAGATGGGTGATCCCATTGGTGTACAGTTGATCTGTTTGTATACTTGACCATTAAAAATGAAGGGTGTAGTGAGGCAGAGGTCTAGTAGTTTAAGTATGTTGTCATTGTTGATTGAGTTGCTGGTCTGTGTTGCTGTTTCCTCCAGTAATGCTGCCACTGTTTCTTTGGTTAGTGGGATGTTGATTGATGTGAATAAAACTGTGACATCAAAGGATACCATAATCTTGTCATCACTGATTTTTATGTTCTTGAGGGTATCGAGGAAATTTTGGGTTGAGTGGATGGAATGTGGTGATCTGTCAACGAGGTGTTCCAAACTCTGTTTTAGGTCCTTGGTACGTAGACGACACATTTGTCATTATTAAACACAACAATTTAGAAGAGACCCACCACCTCATCAGCAGCGTATTCGCAGGGATTAAATTCACAAAGGGAAATAGAAAACACCAATCAACTTCTGTTTCTGGATGTTAAAGTTGAGCATATGACCAACAAGGAGTTCCAAACCTCTGTATACAGAAAACTAACCCACACAGATCAAATCCTCAACTTCCACAGCAACCACCCCAACGCCCACAAAACTGCATTAGAACACTAATGCCAATAGTTTAACTGGGGCAAGGTAACCATAGTAGTCCAAGCCAAACATAGACACGCACGGGAATTCCCAGAGGCATGGTTCTCTACCCGCAATGTAATCAACAAACATATAAAATTGGACCCCATATACAAACCCATACAGATCAAAAACAGAAATGACAGTACTCGCCATAATGGGCCAGACAGTATAAATTCCAAGCGGAGTATAACATCGCTTCATCGGAGGCTTCACTGATGACCTCACCTAACATGGTGACGAAATGACTGAACGAGAACAAGCCAGCTCGGTGAGCAAGTCAACAACCCCACCCACAACCCGAGCTACAGATCTTCACCAAAACTTTAAAAAATCTACAGCTTTGTTGAAATGCTCACTCATGTGTCCACACAGCACTTTGTGCGACGAGACCTCAAGTGTTAAACGAAAACAGAAATTGCTGGAAAAGCTCAGCAGGTCTGGCAGCATCTGTGGAGAGAAATCAGAGTTAATGTTTTGGGTCCAATGATCCTTCCTCAGAACTGATGGTAATATGTTGGTTTATATTGGAAACATTGGAAAATGTTGGTTTATATGCAGAAGATAGGGTTGGGTGGTAAGGAGTAAATGATAGGTGAGGATAGAGCCCAAAGAGAGACAACAGCTGGACAGAAAAAGGAGTTGTTATAGGTCAGCCTGGGAGAATGAATGGCCGCTAATGGGGACTGTCAGTGGCTAAGAAGGGAAGAGTGTCATGGTAGACCATATGATAACAAGGCCTGGTGTGTTGGGATTGGGGTAAGGGCATGGGAGAAGGTGCCTCAAGCCCTAAAATCATTAAACTTTATATGGAGGTCAGAAGGCTATCGAGTTCCCAAGCAGAAAATAAGGAGTTGCACTCATATTTGTCTCCTACCGACAACTCTTTGTCCAGTATATCAATGTTATTGTTGGAGCTGCTTTTCTCTCTCTTGTTCGGAATTGGAAACATTTATCAACTTCACTTCCAATTTCCACTTCACTGTCACCTTCACCAGGTCCATCTCTGACTCCTCCCCTCCCTTCCTCGCTATCTGTTTCCATTTCTGGGGATAGATTGGCCACCAATATCCACTACAAATGCATCAACTCCCAGTTACCTTGATGATACATCCTCACACCCTACTTCCTGTAAAGACTCTATTTCATTCTTCCAGTTCCTCTGTTTCCATCGCATCTGTTCCAATGATGCCAACTTCAACAAGGGGGCCTCTGAAATGTCCACCTTCTTCCTCTACTGAGGGCTCCCCAGCACCATTGTTGACAGGGCCCTTAGCCGGGTCTAACCCATCTCTGACACTTCAGCCCTCACCCCCCTTCCTCCCCTCCAACAACAGCAATGGGGACCCCTTGTCCTCACCTACCATCTCACCAGCATCCACATCCAGAAGTTACCTGACAAAGGAGCAGCACTCCAAAAGCTTAACACCAGCATTTCTACAGCCTCTACACTGGGGAAACGAAACATAGACTGGGTGACTGCTTCGTAGGATACGTACGTTCTACCTGCAATAAAGTCCCTGAGCTTCCTGTCGCTTGCCACTTTAACACATTCCATGGCCAATCTCTCTGTCTCAGGCTTGCTGCAGTGTCACAGCGAAGCTCAGCGCAAGTTGCAAGAACAGCACCTCATCTTCCACTTGGGAACTATAAAGTCTTCTGGAATCAATATCCAGTTAAACAATTTTAGGGCTTGAGGCACCTTCTCCCATGTCCTTACCCCAACCCCCACACACCAGGACTTGTTATCACTTGGTCTGCCATTACACACTAACCATTGTTAGCCACTAGCAGTCCCCATTAGCATTAATTCATTCTCCCAGGCTGACCTATAACCACTCTTTTGTCTGTCCAACTGTTCCTCTCTCTCCTTGGGCTCTATCCTCACCTATCGTTTACTCCTTATCCCCTCGCCCCTCCCTATCTTCTGCATAAAGACCAAAATTTCCCTAGCTACTATCAGTTCTGAGGAAGGGTCACCAAACCTGAAAAACTAACTCAGATTTCTCTGATATAACAAGGTGTAGAGCTGGATGAACACAGCAGGTCAGGCAGCATCAGAGGAGCAGGAAAGCTGACATTTCGGGTCTGGACCCTCCTTCAGAGCTCCTCTGATGCTGCTTGACCCGCTGTGTTCATCCAGCTCTACACCTTATTATCTCAGATTCTCCGGCATCGGCAGTTCCTACTAGTTCCCACTATCTCTGATTTCTCTTCACAGATTCCGCCAGACCTGCTGAGCTTTTCCAACAACTTCTGTTTTTGTTTCTGATTTCCAGCATCCGCAGTTCTTTTGTTGTGTTTAATTCAGTCCTCAAATGTTGTCTGATTACTGTCTTTGTGAAGGAGATTTGGCGAACTTGCTACCTTAAAAGTTGTTATTTCTATTTTCAGATATAAATTACTGGGCTGATACTATGCCCTCTGCATCCTGAGAATGTGGGACTTTCTAAGAGATAGTTGAGGCCAGTAAGAGAGATATTTTGAGGGGGGAGGGTGTGCTAGATCAGTGCAACAGGGAGAAAGGAATCTGTCAGCAGGATTGATTTAGATAGCTGAGAGGAGAATACAAATGCTAGCATTGACCAATTAGGCTGAATGGTTTGTTTTGGTGCTGTAAGTTCGAAATAAGCTGCTAATTCATACCAATGGGACGCTGTTCAACAAGAATGAGCCAGAGAGCTGGAGAAAGAAAGCAGTACCTTTCTTTCGGGCTGTGTCCTCTGGATCGAGATTCCTGCTCACTGTCACAACCTTTAACACCAAATGGTTTCCTCCCTGGCGGATCATGTTCACCACTTGTCTGTGACCAACCTTGACAACGTTTTCATTGTTGACCTGCAAGAAATTTGAAATGAGTACATTTAGTAACAATAACCAACAAAGACACAGTTCCACATGGCCCTGCATTGCTTCAAAGGGTCAGGAAGGGGCCAATCAGCTCCTTGAGATTGTTCTGCCATTCATTGAGGTTCTAGTTGCTCTGTAGCTTCCTGGTCTTTGTTCTGTAACCCTTTAACATCCTGAACTAACAAAAACCAATCAGGTTACTACGTCCTGATGCAATACTGTTGTTACTCTTCACCTCCCTCTCCCACTTATTCCAAGTTTACACCTGCCTAAAGCTGCTACAGCTTGAACCGTTTCTAGTTTGGATGAACAGACAGTGACCCGAAACATTAACTTTTCCTTTCTTCATTGAAGCTATCTGATTCAGTGACCCAGTTCAAAAGGTTAAAGCCTCCAAGTCACAGTCACTGCAGTATCACCAGGAGTGTTCTTCTGGAAGAACCAGGCTATTCCTCCTGGAATGAATATTTAAAAATAAGGGCAATCATTTCAATAGTGAAAGGAATACAGGAGCATGTAGGAAGCTGAGACGGGAAAACTAACTGGAAACCACCTTTTAAACTCCATTAATGTAGGTTAAAACCAAACAATGAGTGTCAGTGCTAAACCTTGAGACAGCAGCAAAATGGAACATCTTCTGAACGATGACTTGCTTTTGTGAGCAAGTAACACTGCAGGCTTAGCAATGGAAAGGAAAGAAGAGGCAGCAAGTACAACGAAGAATGTTACAGTCTACCCAGCACCATAAAACTCCACAGAAAATATCCAATTCCTCCATCACCGATGCTCAGTACCAGCAGTGTGTACTATCTACAAGATGCACTGCAGAAATTCACTAAAGATCCTCATACAGCACCTTCCAAACCCCCTTTGATTTAAAAGCTCAAGGGCAGAAAATATGTGGGGACACCAGCACTTTCAATTTCCCTCCAAGCCACTTGCCATCCTGACTTGGAAATATATCCCTGTTCTTTCACTGTCACCGAATCAAAACTCTGGAATTCACTCCGTAAGGGCATTGTGGGTCTACCTGCAGCGGTTCAAGAAGGCAGCTCACCCCCACCTTCTTAAGGGCAGCTAGGGACGGGCAATAAATACTGTCCTGGCCAACAATGCCCATGCCCCACGAATGAATGCAGAAAATCCCAAACAAACAGAGCTGGGCAGAATGAACAATAATGGACACCATGACCCCATCAAATGCCATGTGATGTACATACATGGTGTGCATGTGTATACACAAATGTATATCCATGTATATGTGCACGTGTGTGAGAGATGGAGTGTGCACGTGTGAGAGAGAGATAGAGAGTGTGTGTGCGTAAGATAGACTGTGTGTGTGTGAGAGAAAGAGGTAGTGTGTGCGTATGAGAGAGAGATAGAGAGTGTGTGCG